TGGTATCTCAATAAGATGTAAGAGAAATTAAGACACAATACTTTCACGCCAGTATTGACTACGATACCTATATGTTTGGCATTTAAACAAATGCATTCACACTTGTATGTATTTTAATTATTGAGTCATTCAAACATCTGGTATGATTTTTTAATTATTTATTTATCTTGTACTACTGACCGAATATTAAATGTTAATCATTTCTTCCCATCAAACTTAATACTGTATACCATGTATAATAGTTACCTACATACTAGACCTTACTAGCTGTAACAATATAATATAGGAGTTGTCTGCAGATTAGAATGATTATGTTCGAGTAGTTCTCAATGTCCGAAAGAAGCTATATGGTGACCATGAACGTAATAATCTTTAAAGACTAACAATAACTAGACAGGGTTGCATATATATCACATATTATGATTATTATTTAAACCATAATTACTATAGCTAGTAGCTAGGTATCATGTTGAGTACTTTGTGACTTAGATTATGTTTGAATCATATCAATATCATATACATATAATTCAGGAAAATAATATCTCTTAATGTACTTGGCGTTAAATATATAAATTAAAACACGTAATATATATACGTCGCGGGCCCTTAAACACTGTGGTCACAAAACCATCACTCACATATACCGAATTTCAACTGGTGCAAACGCGTTGGTTACTTACCTCTGCAGTGGAAGCATGGCATCGTCATCACCATTCCCAAGCCAGGCAAGGATGTCACAAAAACAGATATATATCGCCTGATATCACTCCTCAACACAACGTCCAAGGTTCTGGAGAAATTACTGCTCACCAGACTTAAGTGTAATGGGTAAAATATAAGAGTAGAGGCTTAGGGGCTGTATTATTAGAGAGAGAGATGTAATGCCCGATGGCACGAGAATGAATCTTACGTTTTTATTTATTTGGTGGGGTGTGATTATTTTTAATATGTGCAGCCTCAAATTTATCTTATAGAATTTCCCTTTACTAAATGTTATTATGCATATATGTGTGTATTGTTTAAGTGCATGCTTTAATCATAATATGTGCGCACTTACCTTGTTTGGATATGAATGTGCTTGTCTTCTGTGACTCTCGAGTTGTGGATTAGATGCACGTTATTTATTACCTCTTTTATTGATGATTTTAGGTTGAATTGAAGTATGGATTTTTTTATGTTGGAAACAAGAATAATATGGAAAGGAATTTAATAAAGTTAACACGTATTTGATTCAGTTATAAATGTAAGAAGATGAACGCAACAATATGAGTTAGCACTTAGGTGTTTGGATATTTGTGAGACGCGAGTGTAAAATATAAGTTAAGTTAAAACTTGGTGAATAGATGAAGAAATGATTTATGTGTATATGTGTGGCGTAGAAAAAATGGTATTGCGGCCATGTGGCTATATGATGACACTGCGACATTGGTCAATCCTCTTCTCTTCGCTCCGCTCCTTGAACGCCGTCTCTGAACTATCTCATTGTGTCTTTGGTGTGGGCGTTACTTATATGAGCGTATCATAATTGCCGTCGCATGTCGCAGCATCACTATCCGTGTATAGGGTGTAACTATTCTTTGTAGTGTATTCGTATTGTTTTATTACGGTGTGTATGGATGCGTCTTATGAACTATTCTATCCTATATGTATGTGTGTGTGTGTTTTATATAATTTGGGGAGATTTTGATGTATATTCTAATTGTTGTTACATCATTACCTGTATAATTCGGGATGTGATTATTCAATTATTTTTATATTATATGATTGATTTTGGTGTACATATTAATTGTTGTGTCATCATGTTTTAGATGATGGGGTTCAATTATTGTAATGTGCTGTGTATTTAATTGTTGTTGTTGCACAACGTCTTATTATATTTTATGTGATCTACTTATATGAGAATTATATTATAATATTAATCGTTTATATGTGGCCGATTTAATTGCATTATATGTGCCACACCCAAGTACTTATACTCATATTGGAAGTCCCTTTTTACCTTTTTATTATTAACAAGACTTGTATTATTTATATATTACAAATTGCACGGAAATTCGAATTTCATCGTGTCCCCACGATGAACTGATATTATACATTTAAAAGTTGAATATTCCGTGTATATCTTAATGTATAATTTATATAATATGAAAATTCTTAAATATAATATGAGTATTTGCTATGGTTGGTAAAACAATGAATATAATATTTGATTAATTATTAAATTGTGTGTTTTTTTTGATATGTTGTATAGTTCCCCTTTTTTTTTTTTCTAAATTTAAATTTACTTTGTGTACCGAAATAAAATTTGATTGTTTTTTTTTGTGTTTTTTTTTTTACTTAATTTACTTTGTGTATGGAAATAAAATTTGATTGTTTTTTTTTTGTTGGAGTGTTTTTTTTTACTTACCAAATTTTGTTTTTATTATTGACAATGTGGTTGGTGTTGATGTTGGTGCATGGGTTGGAATGTGCTGCTCTCTTGGTTGAATCCGTGACGTTGATTGTTGATGTTTGTTGGTTGACTTGCTGACGAGACTGCTGTGGCCTTCTTTGACTCCGTGATGTTGGTTGTTGATGAGGCTAATCCATTGTCCGTTGAATCCATGATTGATTTGCGTGGTTGACATTTTTTTTTTTTTTTTTTTTTTTTTTTTTTGAACCGTGTCATTGGTGGTTACTGTGGGAGGGGTCTTGAATACTTCAACGGCGTTGATTATGATTTGGTCCATCATTAATTCTTTATATTGTGTTTTCCTGATTACCGGCATGTAATTGTGTTGGATGTTGGTATTGTTGAATGATATACATTTTGCTAAATGTAATATCCATGGTCCAGAATTGTGCGAACTTGATTGTATTGGAATGTGGAAGTAAATTGATTTCCATTTCGATGGATGATGTCCGATAATTGTTTGCCGGCTGATTAAGAATTTTTTTATGATTGCCATTTCAAATTCATAATTGAGGTTCTTGTTATGATAACAAGCGATAGTTTTTATTTTTGTAAATATAACTATCAGTGCCCATTCTTCTTTGATGTGTATTGGGAATAGTATTATTTTGGTATTTAATACTGGAATTTTCGTCCATACCTTTGTTTCACGCATTCCATCATTTAGATATTTGTCAATAAAATCCACATTGAAGGCATGTATTTTGAGTGTTGATTGCGTTATAATTAGATCGAGGTATTTGTTGATCATATTTTCGTTGTATTTATAAGTATAGAATGTTGTTCCAAACCCAGCCATATTGTGTTATGATTTTATAACTTTATATTGATTATTTTTATAAACTACTATATAGGTGATGAATATGTTTTTTTTTTTTTTTTTTTTTTTTTTTTTTTAGGTAGTTATCCCGTTATTTGATATAAGTTCCCTTTAAAGAATTTTTAATTTAATAGTGTTTCCCTTGTTTTGATTAAATTGTACTTATTTAATCATGTATGTAATTAAGTCTTACTTTCCTTAAATTATTGATTATAATTGATAATTTGTAATAGTTATTACTACTTATGAGGTGAATATTTTTGTTTTTTGTATTTTTATAAATCCTATTCTTTATCCCCTTTTGTAAATTTACACTTAAAATTATAATAATTCGATTGATGTTTAGATTATTGTTTTGCTAAATAGTATCCCTTTTAATATAAAAGTTCCCAGTTAATGTTATAAATTATGTTTTTTTTTTTTTTTTTCTAATAATTCTTAGTGTTTAATCATTAATTAATCTATAGGTACTTATTTTTATCTTATTTTTGTTTATTTTGTAGTTAATATACTAATAAGTCTTAATATTATATACCCTTTTATTTGTACTTTGTAATTATCTTTAATTATAGTATTTACAAATTTATTTTATTGTCTATTTTATGATTAATGTAAGTACTAATGTGTCTTAATATTATATATCCCTTTGTGTTAGTATTAGTATTTATAGGTGTTATTAATTCTATTATCTACAAATTCATTTTATTATTTTTATTTACTTTTCTAATGTTGTTATACTTGTATAGTTGATATTGATAATGATTTGATGTTATATCCGGTGTTAATTAATTGATTGAAGTTATCAACATGGTGTTTCCTTTTCAGTATCTTTTGATTATATTTTGTGGTTATAATGATTAGTCTGAATTCTGATTTCTGGCATGTGTTTTTTTTTTTTTTTTTAAATTGTCTTATTAATTATTATTTGTGTTGTTAGTATATTTGAATTATTTTTATTTAATTTATTATGTTGGATATTTTGGATTCTTTGACGTTTATGTGTTCAAGCATTATTTCAAGTAAGGTAGTAAAGTTGTTAATATATAATTTTACTAAATTTTATTTTTGTAGATTCTATTCTTCTTTTGGTTGATTATTGTTGAAATTATATTATGTTTAATGAGTTTGTGTGTTTTTATTAAATAACTGTTTTATTCCAGTTGGTAATGTTTGATCTTCAATTGTTCTATTTGTCTTCTGCAACAAGGACATTTGGTATTTTTGATGAGTGAAATACAATTCATATGAAACGTGTGATTGCAATCAGTTTTTATTAATTGTCCTTCAGATTCAAGACAAATTGGACATATTGTTTCTTCGTTTAGGGTAGGTGTGAATTCCTTGAGATTTATTTGTTGTGCTATTATTATTACTTGTTTATCTTTTTTTATTAAGATTTTTTTGTCTGGAAATGAGTTATTTAGTGTTATGTTTTTTATTTTATTGTGTTTACATGATAATTTAGTTAATAAACCATTGATTATTATTGTTTCTAATGAGTTATTAGAACAATGAATTTCGTTTAATTTTATATTTAGTTCAATTTTTGTTATTGAATTTCTTTTGCAATATAGGGTTGACAGATTTCTATTTAAATTGAGATTTGTTAATTGATTGTTGCTGCAGTTTAGTGTTCTCAAATTTGGATTTAAATTTAATTCTTTTAGTTCATTGTTGTTACAATGTACTTCTATCAGGCTGTATCCTAATATTAGGTTTTTTAATTTGTTATTTGAACATGTTAATTGGATTAACTGGATCTATCAAACACAGATTTAAATCAATGATCTTATTGTTTGCACAATCTAATGCTCTTAATTCATTATTAGTGATTAGTTGATTCATGTTATTGTCTGTACATATAAGGGTTTGTAATTTAGTGCATTGTGACACATCTAGTTTATTGATGTCCATGTTAATTATTGTTAATTTCCTTAATGTATTTGATTTTATTATAAGGTTTGTATATATTTTTTTAGGGCATTCAGTGCTTAGGTTGAGTTCTGTGCAGTATGTGACATATTTTTGTGCTGAAGAGTCTGATTTTTGTTTGAACAACATTTTATTGGTGTTAGCTAAAAATAAGAAGAATTTTTTATTTATTATTATGCAACTGGTTATTTGCTGTTATTGTTGGTGTGAAATTGTTTTTTTTTTGTGAGTGAGCTACTGATTTTGATTATTTATTAGAGATTCTAAGGATGTATTTGTGTTGGTCATTAGGTGATTAAATATGCATTTGGTCAGATTTACATCTGTTACCGGGTCATGTATGTATGTGTCATTATGCGATAATTTACATATTATTTTGTGCGTTTCCTCTAGGTTTGTGAGCCTACCTTTTTTGTTTATGTATCCTAACTTTGATTTAATGACTATTTTATTGTTTGTAGTGTTTATTAGCTGTAAAAAGAATTCCCCATTATTGTGAGTGTCGTAACATGTCATGTTGAATACTGGCATGTCTATACCCATCCTTTTTAGTATTTCCATGTCAGTATCCCCATTCCACGTTACGATAATTGGTTTCTTGTTATTGTGGTTAGCATATTTAATTATGTATTGTGGATTGAGGTTGCCATTCTTTTTTAGGAAGCTCTCATTTAATTCATTCAATATTGGTTCTTGTTTTTCCGGTTTATTTTTGAAGATTTTTATTATTGTTTTTATTATTATATTTATTTGGTCTCTGGGTAATTTAGTTATTTCTGTAGATTTTTGATGTTTTCTTAGTAGTAGTGGTTGCCCTTTTAATTTAATAGTTTTTGACTCGGTGTGGCTGTTAGCTATTGCCCCGGATATTAGTACTAGTGTTGTTCTTTCGATTAAAGTAAATTCAAAATCTATGATAACGCAATTCATTTTGTATTGTTTTTATCTTGTCAGTCCTGTAATTTTAAAATATAATAGTTTTTTACATATATTTTTTAATTCTTTTGATTTTGATTTGTGAGCTGTGTTTTTTGTGATGCTAGCTGTGTGTATAAGTATATTTGATGTGAGTGTTTGTGGTGTAATGTTATAATGTGTGATATAAATTCTACCCATTTCATTTGGTATTACTGCGTTTTGAAATTGAACTAATTCTGGTGCCTTTATAATAAAGAATGCATAGTTGTAAAATGTGTATGATAGCATAGAGCGACCAATGTATGTTTTGTTGTTTAGTGAATAATGATCTTGATAAATGTTTTTTGTCCATTCAATTTTTTGGATTTGTGGGTCTATTATGCATGAGTCATTGAAATATAGGGTTATTTTCTTATGAAATTTATCTGAGTAGTTTTTTGAAATGAAGTTTTGTTTGGAATTATTTTTATTGAAATATGTATCATAGTATAAGTTTTGGTTTTCTAAATTGAACATTCTTGATGATTCAGGTATTCTATAAAATTTTCTTTTATCTTTCCCTAGGTGTCCTGTCATGGTTAGAAATATTGGGTCACATAGAAGTCCTGCCTTCATTATAAAATATGCCGATAGTGCAGTTATGTCAATTATTTTTTCTAATAGGTGGGAAGGTTTTAAATTTGGTAAATGCCATAATTGTGATGATAGACAGATGAATATTTCTGATAGAAATATTGCTCGTAAATAAGCTTTCTTTTGTAATTTAAGTGATTTGGTGGTTTTTTCTAAATTATGTAATATTTTGGTTATATAATTATAATCTGAAGTGTTTTCATTTAAACATATTATATAAGTATTGTTTAGATTATCAGTATAAATTGCATGTTTTATTTTATTATTTTCTATATTGTGGGTTCTATTTATTATTTCTTTGTGGAGATGTATTGTTATCATATGTTTATTATTCTGTCTTATTTTAAAATTATTGTGATTGGAAAATTTGCTTGTTATATTCGTTTCGCTCAAATTTAATACAATGTTGTTTATTTGTGTGTGTTTATAATTGATTAATGTTGAATTTTGTGTTGTGCCCCAAAATGTTGTTGTGTCGTATGTTCTGCTGTCGACTCGTGATGTTGGATATCGATCTGTTTGTATTGATTTCATTAGGTCTGAACGATATTCCATCTGAATTATGACATTTATGATTTAGTGTAAATTTAATGGTGTTAGTGCTTATGTACAAGAATTATTTTAATGACTCTGATATATTTTATATTTTTTTTTATATGATTTAGTTATATTGTTATGTATTATATTATGATTATGTTTAGTTTATTCAGGCTTTATGTATTTATAATGATCTTCTAAGATCTTGGTGTTGTGTGTTTTTTATATTTAGTGATGGATAGATTTTTCTAGGTTGTGGTGTAGGTTGTGATATAGGTTGTTCTGTAATATTGTCTAATAAGTATGTCTCTGGATTTTCATTTTCATTATTTTGTGTATTTTGTTTAGCTTTGGTATGTGATTTATGCATAAAATAATGTGTCATGCTTGCAAATAAACCTGCCAGTACTTTAAAGCTAAATCCAAAAGTTTGATATAAGATTGACATGTTGATTGTTGTGTTTAGACATATCATAAAGATTTTCCATATAACAAATACACCTATAATCCAGATATGAAATACCAAACCTACAACCAGCCCCACATTTTGTTTAGTTTTTCTTCGACCAATTTGCTTATGAGTTGTTCATCGATATAAGGTCTTATTTTTAGTCCTTGATCAAGAGTGTTGTAGCCCATTGTTTCTCTTGCTAGGTTGCTTTGAGCTGCAAAAACTTCTTGAGGGAATAATAGGTGTCTTTGTAAAGCGTTAATCATGTCGCTTGAGTATAAGCCTGCGTTCATTAGGTGTTGTGGACTTTTATATGCCCATGTCCAAGTTGTTTGTGGTTTTAATAATTGAGGTGTTTTGCCTGAACCTAGTTCATTGTATTGAGGTGACATGCTTATCCATTCATCTTCCATGAAATATCCGGCTGGTAGTATGAATGTGCAGTCGATTTCAGTACCATATTTTTGTAAGGTGTGCGTTTTTGGTGCCATGAATAATTTTTGTTTGTTGTGTATTATTGGGAGTTCCTGAAAACAAGCTTTGTGGCTTCTATCTAGTTCAACTTCTACAGGTTTGCATTTAATAAGGTATACTATTTCTCCTGATTTTAATGCAGTGTAGCCCGGACCTTCTCCCATTGCGTATGCAAATTCTGGTAGACTGTAAGAGGCTAACGAAAGTTTTTGCAAGAGTATACTTCTTTCTAAGTTACATTGTTTTGTAACTAAATCGAAATACATTGAAGTGATGGAAGCTTGTAAAATGTTTTGTATGTAAACAAACTTAGTATTTATGTATGCCATCAAATCTGTATTATATGTCGAGATAGGTTTTGTGTGGAAAAAATGTATGTTTGCTTGGTCGGTTAATATAAATAATCTTGGATGTTCAGTTCGAAAAACTGGTATGTGGCATGCGTAGTCCATACCCATTTTGCGTAGAGCGAATGCAATTTTGTCTGATTCTACTAAAATTGTTTGAATTTCAGTAGTTGAGTTATATGATTGTATGGATGTTATTAGTGTAGCTGGCCCTTCATATAGAGTGTCGTAATCATTAGTGTTACAATTTTCTTGTTGGTTATGTTTCCATATTATTTCTCCTTTATGTGAGTCGATTCCGTATCCGTCCGATAGTTTTAGACGAGTTCCGGTTGGAAGTATTATGACGTTATCTCTGCTATTTGCAGTTGCCATACCTTCTGATAATAGTATTTTATATTTTGCTTGTACTAGTACGTTGTCCCATTCACACTTGTCTGTTCTGAATGTTTCTCCAGTGCAGTCTCCATCTCGGTTGACTTGGCCCTTGATTACATCCGAAAAGTACATGGTTTGGTTTATTTTTATTTTGTTCGCTGTTATGCCTTGAAAAAATGTGTATGAACGTTGCAAGTGTGCATCTGCGCATTGTGCTGCACCTATTTGTATAAGTTCTGTAAAGTACCCATTTCTTACGATTTGTGCATCGTCAAGGCTAGCGCATTTTGTGATTAAGAAGTCAGCTACTATGTAGCATGCTTGATATTGTATTTGTTTTGATTCTGTTGTTTGTAGTAATTTGATTAATGGTATTTTATCTATTTTGTTTGGTATGGGGGGTGAACAATAATCTACATTTAATGTGTTAAATGATGTTATGTTCATTTTACTGCCTGAGCAGTCGTACGCTATGAAACCTTTGGTTTGTTGTATTATATATGTTATGTTTATGATTGTTATGTATAAAATATATTTGTACTTATACATATTAGTAGTGTGATATATATTGTTATTCGTTACCATTTTCTGTGGATTCCGTGTCCTCACATGAAATGGTGTTGTCCCTTTTGAAGTATGGTTTCAAACGTCTAATATGAATGATATCTTGTGTTAGTTTATTATTTAATGTAAGTTCTATAATGTAATTTACATCATTCTTTTTTGAAATTACTTTGTATGGGCCTCTGTATTTGGGAGCTAGTTTTTGTGTTTTGTTCTGTTCTTGAAATGGAAATTTAACCAAGACTAATTGATTTGGTTCATATGTGGTAAGTTTATGTATTTTGTCATGATTTATTTTTTGTATTTCTTGAGCTTTTTTTATGTAATTGGGGATGCTTTCCCTTGCTAGTTTTAGTTCCTCAAGTGATTTTTTTATGTCGTAAGATAAGTTTTCTGGTATTATTTGTATGTCTATGCCTATGTTTGCGTTGAAACCGTGTAATAGGTAGTATGGGCTGTGATTTGTCGATATTTGTGGTGAGTTGTTGTAGCTAAATATTATGTATGGTAAATAAAATGACCATCTTGATTGGTTGTTGTCTTTTATATAATGTCTTATTGCTTGACATATTACTCCATTGATTCTTTCAGTGAAGCCTTGTGATTGAGGTGCATAGCTGGATGAAAATATTTGTTTGATTCCAAAGCTTTGACAGGTTTCGTTCATTATTTTATTTTTAAAGTGTAAACCTCTGTCAGAAGTAAGGTATCGTGGTACACCATATTGTGTGATATATTGAATAAGAAATTTGGCTACAGTGTTAGCGTCAGAGCACTTTGTTGCTTTGGCTATGACGTATTTGGTGCTTTGGCATGTAAAGACTAGT